CCGTGTTTGATACAGTTCAGTTCAGAAAATGGGCAGAGAGATTTCAGGGGAAATCTCTGAAAGTGAGAAAACACTCGTGTTTTGGTTAAATTTCAGTCCCCTGTGTAGCATTTTTCTTTCTCTATGCCCCTATTTCAGTGGACATATAAGAAAAAATGCCATCAACATTGGGAGAGGAAGTGGCATTAAAATGTGGAGATGCCCAAATGCCAAGGCAATGGGATCTGGGTAATTCTCTAGAGATGCCCTGAGGTTTGAAACAGCTCTTTGTTGGAAGCCCCAAAAGCATTCTGCCAAAGACCACCAGCTGGTCACTGATGTTTCTCATCCAGCTGTCAGGCAGCAGCCATCTCTGGTGGGCTGGAGTTTTGAGGTGTGTTTTAACCCTGCCCTTTGCTGTGTGCCAAGGGAAGAGCCAGATTAGGCATCTGGCACTTGACATCAAAGTTACAAAAATGGAATCATCCCTTTTATTAGAAATCTCTCCATTTCCTCTCTATGGTACATTTCCAAATCTTCAGAGTGGGTTTAGACAACTTCTTAATGGAAATCAAAGGCAATTGGACATTTCATTCATTGTTCATACAGAGATTGTGACATAATTTAGTAAAGGTAGGAAGTCTGCCACAGGGACAAGGCTCTGGTTGGAGCAATTAGTGCTGAGGGGTTGGTGGTTCTGTTTCCAGGATGCTCAGCTGCTTTGCCCATTTCTGGACCAAGGGGCTCTGGGTGCTATTTTGCTGCTCTTGGCCAGAGAGGCTGGCAAGAAGCAGAAGCAGAGGTGGATCCTTGTTTGCAGTGAGGCTGGTGGGTAAGGAGCTGTGTCTCTGTCCTGGCAGTGCTTGTGCAGGGGGTTCATGCTAGGAGCCCTGAAGTCGTCCAGCGCGACGCCCTGCCCGTGCTCTGGTCCTGCCTGGAGAACAAGGCGCTGCCTGTGCGGAGCGCCAACGTCCGCACCGTGGCCACCAAGCTCGCCTCTGCCCTCTGCAAGGTGATGGGCACCCAGCTGAAGAAATGTGCTGCCAGCAAGCCTCCACATGTGCGGGAAAACCTCTCCAGAATGTTGGGCTGGTGAAGGCGAGATGTTCTCCAGAAGGCTGAGGAAGCGCTGAGTTGGATGCCTCTGGGTTTGCCTTTTGAGCTGTGCCAAAAATGACAAAATCCTAAGGAAGGGTGTGGATCTGCCCCTGCTCTCTCCATTGCCCTTCCTAGTCATGGCATGGGGGGCCTGAAGCAGCTCCAGATGGAGCACAAGATGAAGGCAATCATGGCTCAGCCTCACACAGAGGTGAGGGGGGAGCTGGGCCAATCTCTGCTGGCAGGAAGGGTCTTGTGGCAGCCCAGAGAGGCTGTGCACAGTGCCAGGGAACAGCTGTGCCCTGCACGTGCCCCTGCAATGAGCTGTGCTGCTGCCAGTGCCCCTGGAGCTGTAGGGCTGCTGAGCTGTGGGGCAGGCAGAGGAGCAGGAGGGTGCGTGTGCAGCTGAGCCGCTCCTGGAGAGCACAGGGCTCTGGGCTCCCTGCTGTCCCAGGGCAGCCCAGAGGCCAGGCTGTGCCTGTGCCAGCTCTGGGCAAGTGGCTCAGGGTTTGCCCCGGCCTGCCTCAGTGTCTGCCAGCAGGAGCATGTTTCCCTGTGCAGCTGTTTAGACATTTCCAGGAAATTTGTCCCAGGAAATATGGAGCTTCAGCTGCTTTAGGTTTGCATGGTGGCCTCCGTTAAACTTTGTGTCTCCATTTTGCAGATCTGACTGGTTACAGTCTTACCGAGAAGTTTTCTCTGGACACTTCCGATGTTCCCTCACCCACAAAGTCCTCACCTCCCGTCCAGAAGAGCTCTCTTTCCTCCAAGCTCAGGAAGAAGCTGCTGCCTGTGTGAAGAGTGTTTGAAGAATAGAATTGATGCGTTAGGCTGAATAGTTACAGCTGTACATATGTTCTGATCTTTAGATGTAGATTGAATTACTGTGTTTTGATTGTATCTTTAAAATTTGATGACATACTTTTAATTGTATATATTTTATTTTGATGATGAAAAAAAAGTAAAAAATAAATAACATTTAAATAAACCAAGAGGAGAATGTGAGACCAGGACCTGCTAGCCTAGAGATTATGGGAGTGCAGCTCACTCAGTGTGCCAGTGTCTCACCACATCCTTTCCTCATTGGGCCTCTCCTCTTCCTCTTTGGCCATGGTTTCTTTGTGTCATTTGTGCTGCTGTTTTCAACTTGTCATTGGAACAGGGCCATACATTGACCTGTTTGGGGGACAATGGATCCAAAAGATCCTATCTAGTCAAAGGTTTTCTACCTAGGTGTGTTCTGTGCTCACCAAAGGCCTGAGCAAAGAAACCAAGAGAAGTGTGCCCAAATCCCAAAGCTTTGCTCCTTTGCAATCTCCCACAGATCTGGCTCACAGGTGTCTTCAATCACAATTTCATAGGTAAGAAGAGGTCATGTATTTCACTGGGAAAAGATGCACCGCTTTGGCAAAGTCACCTATATGTATATTTACCCAGGACAGCAGTGCAGCTGTGTTGTTTGCCCCTTGTTTGCAGAAGGATGAGTGCACTGCGAGGCCAATAACAAGTGACAAGGTCTCCTCAAATCTGCACTGCAGCCTGGGTGCCATTCAGCCCCAAGCTAGGGGATCATTTGCTCCCATGGACCAGTGCTTGCCAGTGGAATGAATTCCTGCACAGCTGGAAGAAGCAATTCTGGATTCAGCTCCAGCTCTTGGTGGGCTGCATGATCATTGACAGTGCTGCCCTTCCAGAAATTATTCTGCAGTTTCCTTTCATAGTCATTTGAAACTTTGAAACTTCACATTTTAATTTGCTTTGCTTTAGGGTAAAACACTTCTGGGCCCAGTGCAAGCTGTAACCTTCTGACAGCAAAGTCCTCATGATTGCCAGCTTCTGATGTTACACAATGTCACCTGGCTGCCTGTATTTGCTTTGCTCTGGGTCTAGTCCCGGCCTAGTAAAGCCCAGGTAGGGTGGCACGTTGCAGGGAAAACTGGTCCATGTGCTTATGGTGTTGCCATCAGCAGCAGAGTGAATGTGCCCTTTGGGGATTCCTCTGAAGACAAAATTAGGGACCTGCTCCATGCCACAATATTCTCTTAGATCTTTCTAAAATATCCTAGAAAAGGCAGTGAAACTTCACATCTCCTTGTGCAGCCACTGTTTGAATAGGGGCATTTTTGTCCCTCCTCAAATCATTGCTCTTAAACACCAGAAGCATGAACATCCGCCAACAGGAATGATGCATGGTCCTGCTGCTGCTGCTGCTTCAGAGGACTGGGCAGTGCAGACCTGGGTATTACCAACATGAGCACTTAATCAGCATTTCATGCTCCTTCAAGCTGTCCAGATCTCAGGGCTTTTTTGTTTCAAAGCAGCCACTGCACCATCTCTAGGGAAGAACAGGAAATGGGAAACAGCGACTGCCAGCCTTGCAGGGGTATGGGGGAAAACCTGAGGTTTCTGCATCAAAAGATGAATGGGAAGAGTGTAATTGCCAAAGCAAACACTTCATTAGGATAGCAGGACCAGTTCTTTACTGCATGCTTGCATTGAGATCATTTGGGATCTCCTTTTTGTGTCTCATGCAGAAAAGGAGCTCTTAATAATACCACACTACTTAAACCAGATTGGCATGTAGCTCTGTAGTGGTTCACAATGAAGCAGACTGCCTGCTGTGCCACTGCCAGGCCTGGTTTAGACCTGCTCTGGACTGAAAACCCAGACAAACACCATCAGCACACACCTGTGGCCCACCGAGCTCTGGGACGCTGCATTCCAGCACCAGAGGGACTCTGGAGAGACCAAGTGAATCAACTACAACCCACAAAAAGGACTTTCTGAATTTGCCATCTCTTCAGCACTGTCAGAGGTTTTATTTAATATTATTCATTTTACATGCTTGTGAATACTTTACTTGTTTAATAAACTGGTTTTTTTTTTTACTTTTCTCGAGGGAAGTCTTTTCCTGAACTAGTAGGGGTAGGGGCTGCTTGAACTTGCTTTCTAGATGGATTCCTTTTGGAGATTTCCTCCCAAAATTTGCCCTAAACCAGCACAAACTGTCACAATGAAAATTGCACCAGTGGCACAATTTTTCCTGGTGGCAAATCTTGTGACAGAAGCTTGACCTTATTCTCCATGAGAGATTTTTGGGAAGAGCAGACAGGAGAAGATTCCTGGAAAACTGAAACAGCTTTCCAGAAGTGAAATGAAAATGAAAGAAACAATCCAAGATGTTTTCCTCTATTTATTTCTATGCTCCCCTTTTCCATGTTGCATCCCAGTAATTCCAGATGCACCTCACCTCTAAGATCAGTGACTTAGGGATTTTTAGGTGCTCTAAAATACCATAAGCCACACACACTCATTCTCATTCTCATTCTCATTCTCATTCTCATTCTCATTCTCACTCTCACTCTCACTCTCACTCTTCTCTCTCCCTTTCCCGCTGTCGGGCACCCTTCTCTCGGTGTCCGTTTCCCAGCGTCCCTCTCCTCTCCCCGCCTCCCTCTCCCCTGCCGGGCTGGGCCGTGCCCCCGGCCCGCCCCCGGCCCTGGGCGGGGCTGCCCCGTCGCGGTCTCGCTTCCGCTCGGCTCTGGCCGTACTGGCGGTGGCGCTGCTGGGCGGGCATCAGTGCCTGGTGCGGGGGCGGCATCGCCGCCCTTCGGCTCCGCCTGGCCCGAGCCCGGCCCCGGACCCGACGCAGGCTCCACTCCCGACTGCGGCCCCAGCTCCTCCCGGGGCCCGCAGAGGACACACGCGGCGCGGCCGCTCCCGCCGCCTCCGCTGCGGCTTCCCCGGCCCGAGCTCTGCCGCTCGGCAGCGCGGCCTCCAGCCCCAAGCCGCCGGGGCCCGGGGCGGGTGGGGATGCCGGGCCCGGGGCGGGTGAGGGGCGCTCGGGGGCCGTTGCTGGCCCCGGGCCGAGCGCTGACAGCCGCGTCCCGCCCGCAGGTGAGGCGCAGGAGGCCCTGCAGGAGCGGCACCGGCTGGGATCGCTGCTGGGGCGCGGCGGCTTCGGCAGCGTCTTCGCAGCCACGCGGCTCTCGGACGGTGCCCCGGTGAGCGGCGGGGCCGGCGGCGGGCGCGGGAGGAGGGGGCGGAGGAGGAGGGAGGAGGAGGAGAAGGTCGGGGCGCGGCGGGACGGGCGGCCAGCTCAGCCCGCTGCTCTCCGTCGCTCGCAGGTGGCCATCAAACGCGTGCCGCGGGATCGCATCCGGCACTGGGGCGAGCTGGTGAGTGAGAGGTGTTATGAACAAAAATTCAGTTGATTTTTTTCTGTGAGAAAAAGGTTACCACTACTGCTGGGCTGCTGCCTGTGTTATGGTAATTACGGGTTGTTGTGGTTAATAGCTGTCTTTGTATCGGTAAAAGCCCTGGCTGGGGCGAGTTAATAGCTCTTCTCTCAGCAGTAAAGGGTGCAGTACCTCCCGAACAGTGAGGAGAAAAGACTTTGGAGGGGAGGGATATGCAAAATAATTCTAAGGACCAGCATGCTGTGTGGGACCCCTACTCCAAACGTGCAGGAAGAACCCCAAAAACAACGAGCCACCTAAGAGTTGAGAGACTGGAGTGATGTCTGGACGTGGAGAGCCGAGTGCTGAGCCTGCAGAGATGTGGAACACCTTCGGAGTCCCTCTCGCCCTGACCTTTGGAGTCGTCCCCGGCATGGAGACTGAGCGGACGGGGCCGGGAAAAGTAACAACGAAGGGATCATCACGCCCTAAACGCTCCCACGAGGACCTTATCCCCAGCTCTACTCCTAGTGGACAAAGCAGCGCATATCCTCCTCTTGTGGGTCGCCCTGGGAGAGAGAACGGGAGACTGCAGCCCCGCCGAGCTGCCCAATCCTGAGCTGATCACTTTTAATGAAGGTATTAAGAAGGAGAAGAAGTCTCCTGGCCTTGTTTATTTCAAGAGGGGCCAGCAGCAACAGCCGGGCCGTGCCGGGCGGCGAGGAGCCGGGGTCCGGCAGGGTGGGAGCCGCCGGGAGCCCTGCGGGGAGAGCGGGCGTGGGCTGAGCGGGGTGTGCAGAGCATCCCGGGCTGGCTGAGGGCTCCCAGAGCCCCGGCACGGCCTCGGCCCTACTGACGGCACCGCGCTCCTCCCGCAGCCCGATGGCACCAGAGCCCCGCTGGAGATCGTGCTGCTGGCCAAGGTGTCCCGTGGCTGTGGCGGTGTCATTCAGCTCCTGGAGTGGCTTGAGCTCCCCGACAGCTTCCTGCTGGTGCTGGAGCGTCCGGAGCGGTGCCAGGAACTCTCGGGTTTCCTGGCGGAGCGGGGGTTCCTGCCCGAGGAGGAGGCGCGGGGGCTGTTCCGCCAGGTGCTGGAGGCCGTGCGGCACTGCACCAGCTGCGGGGTCCTGCACCGGGACATCAAGCCCGAGAACATTCTGCTCGACCTGGCCAGCGGGCAGCTGAAACTGATCGACTTTGGCTGTGGCGCCTTCCTCCAAGACACAGCCTACACCCAGTTTGCAGGTTAGCCCTCGCAGGGGATGCTCCTGGGCATCTCGTGGCCCAGCCTGGGTGCAGCACTGGGGCTTCCCCCTATTGCAGCTGGGACGGGATTGATGCTGGAGCCGAGTTGTTCCGGGTGGGGTGTGAGGGCGGCCAGCTCCCAGCCCTGCTGACAGCCTTCAGCACCCACTGTGGCCTGGGCTGGGGCTGGAGGTGGGGCAGCCAGCCCGACACAAACCCCCATGGGGGTAGCAGAGATGGGAGTCTGACCCCATGCCCCAGATGGTTTGGTATGCAGGCGAGGAAGGGCTGGACTGCTCCGCTCTCCTTGTTTGCCTTGGCTTATTAACATTTTTGGGGGCCATGGAGGTGGGGAGGAGAGTGGGTTTTCTCCACTACTGGGTGGGTTTTTCCTCTGTGTGTCATGGTTGGGCCTTCCTAGGGTCTCTTCTGCCCGCTTCCAGGACCAGTGGCTTCTTTTCCAGCCCCGAGTTTGTGCACAAGTCCCAGGTGCTGGCGAGAGGGCAGCTCTCACTCCATGTGCCTCTGGGGCAGCCCCCACATGCCCAGGGATGCTGGGGCCAGGCTCTGGGAGCAGCAGCATCCCCCTGCTGATCTCTGTCTGTGTTCCACAGGAACCCTGTCCTACAGCCCACCAGAGTGGATCCAGCACCAACGCTACCACGGCGAGGCAGCCACGATCTGGTCCCTGGGCCTCCTGCTGTGTCATCTGGTCATGGGGAAGCACCCAGTGATTTTAGTGCACTGCAGGCTTGTGAGCGTTTCTCTTAGGACTTTATTTTCACTCCAAGGGATTCCTAGTTGGGTGAGCAGCACTCAGCTGGGAGGAAATGAACTCAGGTTAACAAACCTGTTCCCCTGCACACAGACTATCAGAATAACCTGAAAGTGCTCTACAGTCAGAAAATGGCACCTGGATTCAGCAGGAAGAATAGCAGATATATTCCCTCAAAGCCAGAACGGGTCTTGGATGCACCAGAGATGTTCAACGACTACTGTAAGTAGGCTGCAGGGTTGAGTGCTGGGCATCCAGAACATTCTGCATTGGATTGCTGTTCCTAGGACAGTGTGACTGGGCTGTCTGTATTATTTTGTGTACCCAGGCTAGCACAGACCACTTCTGGAGTGTCCCTGTGTGGCCTTACAGGCACAGTGGTCTAGGGCACTGTGTTGGTGCCTTGGAGCAGGGTACCTGGCCCCAGCAGCTGGGCACAGTGACACTCAGAAGGCTGCCCCTCATCTGTATGTGTGTGTGTGCACATGTGCACCCGCACCTGCTGCATCAGCACAGGTGAAGGGCAGGGCTCTCTAGCCAAGCATGGCGTGACCTGCATTGCTCTTTCAAATTGTAGATCTGAATCTCGTAGACTGGAGCTCCCAGAACTTCCTGGCAGTGGCTCTGGACGACACTGTTTATCTGTGGAATCACGCTACTAGGGAGATTATCCCCCTGCTGCAGATGGAGCATCCAGATGTTTACATTTCCTCTGCGTCATTGATTAAAGATGGAGACTACCTTGCTGTTGGCACAAGTAGTGCTGAGGTTCAGGTGAATGCAGGGCTAAAACTAGAGGTGTTTTCTAGGGATTGACAGAACTGTGGGGCCTGGGGACAAAACCTTGGCTGGCAGGGGAAGGATGCCATGCACCTGACTTGTCTTCCCTGGTGTGGGGTGGAACTGCCCAGTGTGCAAGGCAGGGTTTGGTTTGGGGGTTTTCTGATAAGCAGCATTACCTTCTGTGCTATAGTCATGAGATACACATTTTCTCTGTTCCCTTACTGAGAAAGCTGAATGCCAGAGCCTGTGCAGTGAGGTTCCTAGGGCATAGAAAGAGGATTGGGTTTCTTCTGAAGAACTTTTTGCTTTGCCTCTCCAGCTATTGTTGCATGTTGTTGTATATCATATTTCTAGGGTCTCATACCTGCTGGGTGGTTTTCTCACAGCAGCTCTTCACAGCACTGGCGCTGTTGCTTCTCAGTCAGGACTCCTCTCCAGCTCTTCCTGAATGCCCCACCCCCTTTTATCCCAGCTACCTCCACGGGCTACAGCTGCTACCCAATCAAGGACATTGCAGCTGCAGCCCAGTTACAATAACTAGAATCAGGGCAGGGTCACTTATACAATACAGAGATCTTTTACTGCAATACATATATTTACTAAGGCCCCTATAAGCTATGGGACATTGAGCAGCAGAAACGTCTCCGAACCATGACCAGCCATTGTGGCTGTGTGGGAACCCTCAGCTGGAACAGCTACATCCTCTCCAGGTAAAGCAGTGGGTCAAGGGCAGTTTCCAGTTGCTGCAAACTCCTATCCCTCAATCTACGTGTGGCATGGGTTAGGGATGGCAGAGAGAAATTTGTCTTGGCTTGGGATTCTTACTCAGCCTTATCGGTTGGGGCTGTGAGGAGAAGGCCTCTTTCCTGTATTGCAATTTGTGCTGAAGCTGTAAAGAGCTTGTGTGGGTGTTTCACTCACACCAACAGACCTGTGTTGCTGGTAACACTGGTTGAAACCCAGTGGCAGCTATAGCAGTCTTGCAACAACAAAAATGGATTTGGGTGAAAATGTGCAGCCTGACCCTGCAAGCCTTCTCTTCTCTCTGCAGTGATGCACGGACTGGGCACATCCATCACCACGATGTCCAAGTGGCTGAGCATCACGTGGCCACTCTTGCTGGCCACACACACAAGGTGTGTGGACTCAAATGGTCTCTGGATGGCCGCTACCTGGCCAGTGGTGGCAATGACAGTCTGGCGAACGTCTGGCCATGCACCCAATGTGGGGATGGAGACTTTGCTCCTCTACAGACCTTCACTCAGCACCAGGGTGCTGTCAAGGTGAGCACAGAGCTGCCACGGGCAGGTATGTGTGTGCAAGGCAGGCATGCAGCACTGGCTGGGTGCAGGTTGCCTCTTGTATGTTTTAAAATGAACTCTCCTCTCTCAGGCGTGGCGTGGTGCCCATGGCAGATGAATGTTCTAGCCACTGGAGGTGGCACTAATGACAGACATATCCGCATCTGGAACGTGTGTTCTGGCGCCTGCCTCAGTGCTGTTGATACCCGTTCCCAGGTGAGAGATGAACATCAGCTTGGAGACAAACACCTTCTGGCAGCACACCTACACAGAGCTGCTGGCTCCTCAGGCCCAGAGGCACGGGGAAGGAGGGGGACCATGCTCGCCTCCGAGTGGTGAGCATCAGCACATGCACCTTGTCTCACCTGTGTTACTGCCTCTTTGCAGGTGACTTCTATCCTATGGTCCACAACCTACAAGGAGCTCATTTCAGGCCATGGCTTTGCACAGAATCAGTTGATTATATGGAAGTATCCAAGGATGAACAAGGTTGCAGAGCTGCCAGGTAGGTGGACAGGGCCTGGGGGTGGGGGGGTGCTGTTAGAGGTTGAAGACAGCTGCACTCCTTGGTTTGAGCCTGCAGCATCACTGATACAGGACAGTATCCGGGGCCATGCTGCTAGGAGTAAAGCATGCCCAGGGGGCTGTGGAAGAGATACCATTGATCCAAGTGTATGCTTGGGGTCTGAAATCACGCTGCCACAGCCACTGGGGAGACAGCTATGCAAGCTGGCAGGGCTCATGGGAGCATACAGGAGTAAATGTGCATGTGCTGATCAGCTCAGCCCTGATTGCACATTCCTTCTCCTCCTCAGCTCATACTGATAGAATCTTGAACCTGCCCATGAGCCCTGATGGTACAGCAGTGGCCTCAGCAGCTGCTGATGAAACAGTGCAGGTCTGGAGCTGTTTTGAGATGGATCCCATAAAGAAGAAGGAGAAACAGAAGGCAAACAGTGCCAAAAGCAGTATTCCTCACCATAGCATCCACTGAGAGCACGGGATTGTTGTGGGGAGGGGGATATTTGGTTTACATGCTGTACAGTATTTTAAATGTTAATGAACTGCTTAACTTGACTTTTTCTTAATGGAGTCTGATGGAAGAAAACGCCATGGCTCTTAAACCCAAGTCCTTCTCCCTGAGGCTGGGGATCTGGGCAAGGAGTGGAGACCTAGGTCTTAAAGGCAAGTTTGCAGGCCCCTGAGCTTAGCACAGCCTAGCAGAAGGATGCTGTGCAAGGGCTGTACTTCTGTTTCTGTCCCATCTAAGATAGATATGTCACCTGCCCCATCTAGATGCTGACTACAAGCACAGCAGCTCCACCACAGGCTCAACTGAAAGCACAGCATGGCTGTGGCCTCAGTTTGTGTTGTCCTGGCATTTCTCACAAGCCCAGGGACACCTTCCTATGGCTCTGCAGGCAGATCTCAGTTTGTCTTGTTAGCTACAGGCAGCCATCACTGCCTGCCTATGGTGCTGGAGTAGAATAGCTGTTGGAAAAAAAAGGAGGGAGAGAAATACAGAGCAACAGCTGTAATCACCCCAAAGGCTGGAAAGGGGCTGGCTCTGGCATAAAGCCTGATGCAAAACAAAAGGTTGGCTTACACTGCCACGCCCAGCCTGGATGTCATGCAAGAGCCATGCAAAGCACCACCAACCCTGTGCTCAGCCTTCAGTCATGTATTCTTCCAACAACTCTGATCTCCCTTCCCCTCCTGCTGAAAGGAGGCCCTGGTGCCTCACCGAGGCTTCATGCAGGGGAGCCAGCACCAGGGCTCAGCTGACATTTATTGGAGCTTGACTCCCCTACACTTGGAAAAATGCCTTTTTTCCAGGCTGAACTGTGCTGGAGCAAGTTGCAGGAAATATATTTGAGCCCTCACCTGACCAACAACCAGCTGAGCCATGCTGCTTTGCACGATGGAGCCGCAGTGTCTGAGGTTGTGGGGCTGCACCAGACCCATCACACCTGTCCTTCAGCTGCACCAGCGTGGCCAGGGCCTGCTGGGGACGCTGCACAGCTGATAAGCACCTTGGCCTGTACAAAGCAGCTCCACCAAGCCTGTGCCTCCCATCAGCCCTCAGTGATTAGCTGAGGGTGGATTATTAACTGTTTTCACCTTTCCCTCAGCACAGTACCACACTGTGCCTAGCACCAGCTCTGCCTCCTGAGCCTTACAGCAGCTGGAACCTTCCAAGGTTCCGACTTGTGCTCTGCCAAGGCCAGTGAGTGTGTAACCACACCCACCAGAGCACCCCCCCCACACACACACATAAAGCTGGTATGGGGGGCACAGTCTCAAAAAACAGCCACTGAGCCAGCACCTTCCCAGCAGTGCTGCTGGTGCATCCCCATTTGGCCACTTGGGAAAGATCAGGAGGTCCAAGGATGGAGCTCTCCCTCAGACACAAATCCTCAGGCCACAGCTGTCTCTAAAGGGGAAGCAGGCAGGAACCCAGATGCAAGGCTGGGCTCTCACACAGAGCTGTGCTGTTGTTGTAGGAGCCCTGTCCCACACCCCTGCACTTGGTGCTGGGAGTTAGCACAGACTTGCTTTGTGGGGCCACAGCTGATTAGGCCTTCCCTGGTCCCTGACCTGGAAGGAAAGCTTTATATGCCAAAAAGTTCCTGTCATTTTTGCAGTCCCATGTAAGAGCAGCTCAGCTTTCTCACAGACTCTTTCTTTCTCCTTAGCACATGCCCCACACCCAGATGCTGTGCATTACACAGCCCTTAGAGGACCTCTGAGCATTACCAGAGGGTAATGATACTGCAGGGTCTTTGACCCCATGCTGGTCTCTTACAGTCCTGGAGTGAGGAGGAGCAGAGGAAGGAA